TAGGAAAAGAGTGAGAAATGTGAGGGGAAAAAGGGCAGGAAATAGGAAAAGAGTGAGAAATGTGAGGGGAAAAAGGGCAGGAAATAGGAAAAGAGAGTGAGAAACATAAGTTGAAATATTTTGTGGTCCCTTCTGACATTTATATTCCCTCCAGGGAACGGAGGTGGGGGTGGAGGACATCAAGCGCGTGTATTCCCTGTTCCTGGACGAGTCGCGCTCCACCCAATACATGAGGGAGTATCAGGAGGCTTTTCTGTTCAACGAGCTCCGTGAGTACCTGGGGACATTTGGGGACACTTGGGGACAGCAGGGGGACASCTCGGTGTCTCCAAAATGGAGAAYRGGGTGGGTGACATAGGGGAYGTGGCAGAGGGAAACACRGGGCAAAATGGAGGGGGAGTAGGGAGGTGTAAAAATTGAGCCGAATTGGGGGATGTAGGGTGGAAGTGGAAGAAAGGAAGGAAAAATAAAAAAATTKGGMAAAAAAACTGGGAAGAAGTGGTAAAAATGGGTGGAGTTTGGCAAAAATGGGGACCAAAGGGGCAAAATGGAGGGGGAGACGGGAGGCGTAAAAATTGAGCCGAATTACGGTAGATGGTTAAAAGTTGGGGGATGTAGGGTGGAAGTAGAAGAAAGGAAGAAAAAATAAGAGAATTGGGCAAAAAAACCCGGGGAAAAGTGGTAAAAATGGGTGGAATTTGGCAAAAGGGGCAAAAATGGAAGGAGTAGAAGAAAAAAATGTGGCAAATGGAGCAAAATGTGGGGAATTAGGTAAATGCAGGGGAAGTTGAGCACAAATGGGTTAAAAATCCGAGAAAAACAGTGAAAGTAAGTTAGAATTAAGGAATTGGGGATAAAAAATAAGTGGAAATCAGATGGAAATCAGGTAAAAAAGGAGAAAATAGATAAAAAGTTTAAAATTTGGCATAAATAGGGGTAAACTGGAGGGGATTTGGGGACATTGGGGTGTCCCTGACCCAGCCCTTGTCCACTTCTCTCCACAGAGGGCGAATCCATGGAAACNACAATAAACCCCATTTGGAGCCAAATTTTCCCAAAATTTGGGAGAAGGGCAATGCCTTTATTGGGGGTTCAAGGAGGGGTTTCATCCATCGCTGAATTGGAAGAAGAGGCGCCGGCGTTGGGGGTCTGGGGGGTCCCCGAAATGGGGCACGAAGGGGATCTGGAGGATTTGGGAGAAGCCTTCGGAGAGGTCGGGGGCCACAAAGTGTTTCCTGAGAGGGAAGAGATGAGGAAAAATGACCCAGAATTGGGTAAAGTGAGGGGAAAACCAGCAAAAAGAGATGAAAAATAGAGAAAATGGAACGAACAAAAAGAGTAATGGGGCTAAATAATGGAGAGAAGAGCAAAAAACTCCAAACCAGCCCCAAATTATCCCAACCTCATCAAAGCCTCTCCAAACTCTCCTCACAGAGCCCCCACAACACCTCAGATACCCCAAAATCCCCCTCAGATACCCCAAAATCCCTCCAGGGCCTCTTTTGATCTTCCCCATGGGGTCTCCAAAATGCCCCAGATCCCCAAAATTCCCTCTGGGTCCCCCCAGTCACACCCAAATCCCTTCAGACCCCCCAAAACCCTCTCATCCCCCCAGTTCCTCCTCACTTGTAGCTGAACAGAACAGCGTCCGTGACRGGGACGTGGCCGGTCTGCGTCATATCCCGGAACTTTTTGGGGTGAAAACCCAAAGAAAGGRGTTCAGGGGGTGCTGAGGGTTCACCCCAAACCCCTCAGGACCCGCTCAGACCCTTCCTCACCCTGCAGTTGTGCCGTGCTTGTTCCAGACTCGCCGTGAACCGGAGGCACCGACAGGGCACCCCGGCCTCCCGGGCACAGGACACGAA